CTCAGACATGTAAGAGAAGTAGTTAGCATCTCCAGCAGGCTGTGCGATAGCTAGAAAAATGAAACAATTTTTCAGGATAAGACTTTTCTAAGTAGACACAGATTGAAGAAGCTGTGCTGATAGAGAATCTGGAGATAAACATGCAGGCGACAGAATGTTTTGATGTGCATCTGTCCTCAAAATTAGCACCATTGTAGGTAGAAATAATGGATTACTCCCCAAGATGGCACGAAAGGCGAGCTCCCAGAATTACAGGAATATATGGTATTGCTCTCCAATGATTTTGGCTGTTTTTTCCCCACACTCCACATTTACAACATCCCTTCACCATCAAGCAAAACAGAAAATTGGAAGCTTGGAGTCTACAGTGAGAGGAAAATACGAAGCTTGCCCAGCGAATCATTATTCATGTTGATTGTTCTCTGCTTAAGCAGCACTTGGCTTTGTTTTCAGCACTGATTAAAGCATCCTTTAAATGGGTATTGCAACACAAACTTGTGCACATCCAAATAAAAGGGGATTTAGTGTGTCAGAGCAATTTGGGCGGAAACAACAGCAGGCCTTCGACTGCCGTGTTGTTTCTGTATTATACTGCTGAGGTCATTTTAAAGCTTGGTGCCTGAAAGAAGCAATTTCATTCAAGAACAAGATTTCTCTCTTTTTTTCTCTCTTTCAAATATGAACTCAGAAACATATAGGTATTTTGATATACTGTGTGCTTGAACTATTTATTGACTATGAATAATATTAAAATAAATCTGGAAGACAACAAAACAATTCACTTGAAGGAGTGAATGAAAGCTATTGCTCTCTTCTCATCAACTTCACTTCTATCTAGTATTGTGGGTTTAAAGAAGATCCAACAAACAAGAACTTGGTATCGATATGACGGAAACCTGAGATTTCTTAGTTATTTTTTAGAAATTTGTTATTTCTTTGCATGACCTTTCAAATATAAATAAAGAAATGATCATAAACCGACTCAAATAAAAACCCAGTCACCCAACAATCAGGACACATTTCAGTCTTAAATATACACTAATTTCTACATTTCAAGGTTCCAAAGAAAGTTGGATCATTGCAGCATCCATCATTAATAATTAAATAATTTTTGCATTAATTTACAGAAGAATAATTGTATTTTAAGCTTATCTAAAGTATATGTTCCTGTATTTCAAGCATGCAACATATTCCAAAATCAAAAGAACTACATAAGGATTGTGCCAAGTCATTTTTAATGTTGCTGAACAGGTGATGCCAATAGTTGATGGTAGAAAAGTCATAGAAAACCAACAGACTCCTCCTGATGAGTCTTTGACAGAGTTGAGTTCAATTTGTGAGGTTATTCATCCCATGAACAAACAAATGGTCCTTATTTAAGAATGAAAAAAGCATATGCTCAGATTAAATGATCTCAAATGCTTTGAAAATGGAAACCAAAAAAATGTCATATAATTTTAATTATATAGAGAACACCACAAACCATGTTAAGTCTTCCTAAACGTTAAATGCTTGGGGTTCCTAACCCGAGCTTCAGTGACCATGACATCCCTAATTTCATTGTTTTCTAGTAGCACAAGCAGCAGAAGTTATGTAACCAGCAGCGCTAAATTATGCCTGTAAAACATAGCTGTCAAAATAAGACTTTCCACAGTATGATTAAAAGTACATTCGTCATAAATGAGCCTACCTTTAAAACTCAGAAGCATTTTACATTTTCAACTTCAATATTCAAAAAATACTCAAAAGACAATGTAAAAAAAAAAAAAAAAAAAAAAAAAAGGTTTACAACTTTTGGTTTTTTGAAATTTTAAACCAAAAATTTTTTTTTATTAAAAACAAAAG